ACACTATACTCTTAGAAATTCTTTTTTCTTATTATATTATATACAGCCTTATTAACGCTACTAAACTTATATATATCTAAGAAGATTGCTTTTAATGCGCTGAGGCAGGGGTGACAAGACTAAGCTTGTCTGCTAGCGAAAGGGTGCATATTAAAGGAAGTAGCACTAACTATGCAGTGCATTCATAGAGTTATCAGTCGCTTATTAGATTGTGTACCAATTTCTGATATCATAAGTGTTCGAACGAATAGGGTTTTTGCGGTCTCGGAATTCGTTCTGCGCCCATCTTCAGATGCAACAAGCGGTTTCATTCTTCACATCTACATTGGACTAATACCAGATAGCTAGGTATTCTCACCGATCACGACCGGTATGTAAGATCAGCTCGACACGTAGCTGCCAGCACTAAGCTTGTTCTTAATCCTGATTCGGAAGTCGAGCGCCTTTGTCGAGATATTCCTCCCAATAGCTTTTCTGACCTGCGTATCAACGCTGAACGCCACTGGCGAAACGATCCATAGACAATTGTCTCGCGGTGCGAGACCTTAGAGCACTTGTGGCTATAATCAGCATCACACATGTACTGGAGAAACTGCTCAATCATATTGTTGAATGCAACTGCGATAGTCCTTTGCACGACGTCTCCGTAGCACGCTTGGAACGATGGCAAAATGTTGCCGTAAACCAACTTTTCACATGCGGCAAATTAGGAGCGCCTAAATCTTCCATCTTCATTAGAGATATAGACAAGATCATAATTGATGTAGCCGGCGATGGTGCGTACCGTGTCTGCACTGCGGGTCTTCTTTCCTGCCGGAAGCTAGCGATTTGCAAAGACTGTGTTTGCTGTGCACTCCAAGCAACAGGAGCAAAGGGAAAGAATGTCAATGCGCAAAGTAAAGCCCTTGTTGTAAGGTGATACAGAGTAGACCACTTGAAAAGCTGTAGAATTACAGATTCAAGCTGTTCACAAATAGTAAGAGTCTTAGGTCATCTATTGTACTTTATCTAACCGTTGCTTCAAGGGGCAAAGTGTCATGTCAAGCAGCAGCGTAGTTCGTGGCCTCTATTTTGTGGTGACGATAAGACAACCAACTACAAAGTGGTGGTGTAGTAAGGTCTGAATAGACAGTGATAGATGGCAAAGAGCATAGTCGAACCGCACAAGTTACAGGGTTGCTACGAACGTTCGCACGAGTTAGTGTTACAAGGAGATAGTAATACAGATTGACTACTACTCAACTATTACAGTATATAGCCTAGCTATATCGTAAAGGTTGAATGATATCAAGCTTCAGAAAGTAGTGTCAAAGCCAGTCCTAGCACTTGGTCTACTCTAGACTTATTACATCTAGCACAATAGATATGCAAATTCTAGTTTTCACGTGCGAAGTCGACCTTTGGGGTTATAAGAACCATCTCAACAAGATAGCCATCCGGATCTCTTACAAACGCTAATTCTGCACAAGCGTCCCACAGTAGCTTGTCTTGTCCTTTATCAATTGGTTTGCATCCCAGGAACGACGCAGCGACCTCTGAGGTTTCAGCTGCACTAGCTTCTTTGACAATGTTAACATTATACTTCTTAAACGACCCATAGCCGCATCCATGTCGGGAACAGTGATACATAGCTTGACCAATGACGAATTCAAACCATAGCTAGTCGCTGCCGTGGTGCCTTTCGCGCTCGGTAAGGATTGAAAATGAGCTCAAGCCTTTAGGGTGGGCGCAGTAGTAAGCGGGGTAATCGCGGGAAGGGGCGAGGCCCAAGCTCCAGCCCACGCGTGCCTGCTGTCTAGGTACTCACTCACCCACAACCTCTTCCTCGATGCTACTTGGACCTGCAATTCGAGCACTACGACCGCCCATGACGAGCGCATACTACCTTGCAAGACCGTTATCGTCTCGATCTCGCAGCGCCTCACCGAACATGGCCGAAACCCTTTCTCTCGACGAGATCCCCACCCTGACGTTGCTATACAAGCTCAAGAAGATCGAACCCCGCGACGACCATGCCACGTCCAGATACGAAGCATCCGATGCGCTGAACAACAAGATCAGCGTCATACGGCAAGACATCACAACCCTCGCCGTCGACGCCATCGTCAACGCCGCCAACACTTCATTGCTGGGCGGCGGAGGCGTTGATGGCGCCATCCATCGCGCAGCGGGGCGGGGCCTGCTGGATGAGTGCGAAACACTCGACGGTTGTGATACGGGAAGCGCCAAGATTACAGACGGCTACGAGTTGCCCAGCAAGAAAGTAATCCACGCTGTTGGTCCGATATACTGGAAAGAAGGCGCGACGCGCTCAGCAGAACTGTTATCAGGCTGCTACCGCACCAGTTTAGACTTGGCAGTTGCGAACGGGTGCAGGAGCATCGCCTTTTCGGCTTTGAGCACTGGCGTATACGGCTACCCGAGCGGTGAAGCCAGTCTCGTCGCGCTCGAGACAGTCCGCAAGTTTCTTGACGACGAGGCCAAGGCAGACAAGCTTGACCGTGTCATCTTTTGTAACTTCCTCCAAAAGGATGAGGACGCCTACTTCAAGAACATTCCGTAAGTCCCACATGCTGCTTAATTCATTCCATCTACTGACTTTCACTAAAGTAATTTCTTCCCACCCATTGCCTCTGACTCCAAGACGCAAGAGGAACAGTCTACCGAGCCGTCCGAGCTCGCATCGCAGCTTCCCGATGCCCCAACGGCCGAGCCACAAGATACCGACGATATCGAGCAGCCATCCCCCAAGAAGCAGAAGACGTCTGATACCGACGATGACTTTGTCGTCGTAGAGAAGGAGGATGTCAACGATGACAAGTCTGAGCTTTGAAGCTATCACTGGTGGATGATTTTATGGATAGGCACGGTCAAAATTTGAATATCACGTTTGACTTGCGTTGGCATGCATTGCAAAATGGGCATAAGAGGCGTTTGGTGGTCCGGCGCGAGAAGTTTATACCCTGGATACGACTGATGAATTACATCTAATGACTACAAGTGGAGATTAGCGCACGGTTTCCAATCAATTGTTGTATGTGTGTACTGCGTCGTGCATGCGCCGTTCAGGACCACGTCTCAGTAATCTCTCACTTTCTGCTCAGGCAATACGTCGCACCTTCCGCCTGGTCAGTATACTTATCTCTTGTCCAAGAGCGACCTTTTGCCCTACACCAACTTTTTGCCGAAGTATATTTCTTCGGAAAAGGGGATCGCAAGTATAAGAGGCTTCATTCATAAGTATATTGAAGAGTTCTCCACGGTTTGATCACTTATTGATGGTTCTTTGGTGCATTCAATCCTATACGGAAGAACTACTGACATACAACAATAGCTGGAACCACTTCCGCCTCGCTCTGAAATATAATCCACGATTTCCATTCCCCCGCGCCTTTTTCGCGTATTGCTCTTTCTCTTCTTACGGCCAATGCGTTTCTTGAGGATGGATATTGTTCTGATAAGGCGAATATGAGCGACGTGGGCCATGTGTCAAACCATGGAGCGGGCTAGCCAGACGTGGCATGTCAGTGACATCTTCGCTTTGACGTGCTATAGAGCGCATGTCACCGCTGGATGCTGTACGAGAAGTTTCGACTGATCCAGGCGGAGTATCGACAGCTGGGGCCTGTGAGTTGCGATGAAGACTAGCGTTCACTTCGACATCTGATGCGTTCTTTGCACGTAGCGCAGGGACGCGCCCGTGAAAACACTTGCGAACTAAGGTAACAAGAAATAAGACTGAAGCTAAGCCTAGGATTCCCCCCAGGACACTGGCAAAAGCTATCAAACCGGTCTTGCTCTCGCTGGGATTCTGGCGATGAGTATCTATCCAGTCGGATGTTGATGTGGGTGTCGGCGCGGATACCTGGCTATGCGCGAGAAACGTGGAAGGCATCGAGACTGGCTCCGTTGGCACAGGCACAATAGCAGAGTCGGACCATGCAGGTTGTGTCCACGCTGGCTCGCTCCACAGCGGTTCGCTCCATTCCAACTGGCGAGCCTGGAGATTATCAACGATAGCAGACGACAGACTCTGAGCGGCAACACTTGACGTTATCATTACTGTGACTTTTGTTGGTTCTGAGGTGGATCGAAATGCGCTCACCGGCGCTGCAGAGATGGCCGACGCACCCGAAAGAGCGATGATGAGAAGTCGTGAGAACATTGTTGAGTAGAATGCGCGCAGCGGCGATATTTGCGGGCAAACAACGAAATATGGTTGACAAGAACAGTTGGCTGCCGCAGATTGTGAATCCGTTTGTCTTTCTCTTCGCTTTCCTCCGTGACCGATCCTGATTGCTGCGTAACAATAGTCCAGGCGCTTGGAGTGATTGAGTGCTTGCTTTATATCTAGTATTTCAATGTTTGTTGACTTGTGATGATCTTATTGTAGGTACATGCAGTGTATTGTGAAAACATAGTCAAAGTTCGTCAAACAACGACTATGAAGGTTGTGATGACGAAGGTGCCGCACCATGTGAGCGCAATGTGTCTCGATCCGACAGAATACAGCATCATTCCAGCAATCCTGAATCACACGTTTCGAACGTACTTGACTGGTCCTGCATACACATGTCGACCACGAAGAGCATAGTAGAAGATTGCGAACAAGACGACTATACCATATCCCAAGACGGCCCAGTTCATGTCTGCTACCGTCGGTCGGGGTCCAACAGGGAAGAAGCAGAATATCCAAGCAAAGAAGAGAAAGAGTACAGCGATGATGTTGATCGGCAGACCTAGCCTTCCCAGATCGAACTTGGATGGCAAGAGCGGTTCGCCGCGTATACGTTTCAATGCGATACATGAGATCGAGATCATGTACGAGGTCAGCATTGAAGCGACACCGAGGGAGACGACCTGCATAAATGCGACAGTGGAGCCAAGGTTGATGAATGAGAGGATAACAACGAACACCAGCGTTATGTAGGCAGAATTAACTGGTACTTCCCGCTTAGGCGAGACCTGCAAAAGGTCAGTATGATATCCTCAACAAGAAATGACGGACACTGGAAGCCACAAACCTTGCTGAAAACTTGTCCAAACGGAATACCGTCATCGCGGGCGAAAGCGAACACCTGACGCGAGCTTGCAGCGACAACTGCAGCGCACGCGAAGATAGCGATAACCAACATCAAAACTGTAAGTGCAGTTGCGCCCCCTACCGACTTCGTTGTGTCCACGAATACCTGGATGAAGGGCGTTCCAAGCGGCGTAGTAAGGACGGAGATAGTGTCGGTCACACAGAAGCAGAAGGTGATGGCCATGACCCATCCAAGAAGCCCGTTTCCAAGCCAAGTCCACATCATGGCGCGAGGAATGACATGAGCAGCGTCACGTACTTCTTCTGCCATGTGAGCACCAGCTTCGACGCCGACGAATGTGCTAGTAGCACTTGTAAGGCCAAGAATGACTGCGAACGGGAGATTTCCCCACATCATGTTATCCTGGAAGACTGAGAAAACCTCGCTCGACGAGTGCGTCCGGTCGCTCATGACCCAAAGTGGTATGATGACAGCGAAGAACCCAACGACGTGTAGTATGACAACCCCACCCTCCACAAGTGGTAGATATTTAGAGAGAAATGTGTTGAAGATCAGGCATACAACCAGAATAGCCCAGATAAGTAGTGTGCCATGCCAAGCTTTTGGGTTGTATGACGGGCTGTTCAAGATGATGAGGCCTTGAATCTGCTTGCCAGCCAGATACGAGACGGTTGCTGCTGCTGTCTGCCAGCCTAGGACACCTAGCCAGCCTACCAGATAACTCAGAAATCTCTGGCAGCTGGGCGGCGCAAACTCGGATACCCAGTGGTATTGGCCGCCAGACGTGGGCGCCCTACAAAACGTGAGCGGGTATGCTTGCAAAGCCCTGGCCATACTCACATAGATGCCATTTCAGCGAGAGAGGCGACTACGAAACCAAATCCAACCATGACGATGAGATATCCCCAGATCAGGCCGGCAGTTCCACCGTTAGATAGCGCAAAGACAGATGTAGCCAGGATGGCCTCCCATGTCGATAGGAGAACTATGCAGAATCCCAAGATGGTAAAGGAACGGAAGTTTCGCCGTGTCTCTTGCGTCTTCCCCATACGTTGCATGTCCTGCACATCCGCTGTCGTCGCGTTCTTTTCTACCAAGTTGTAGTCCTTGCTTTGGCCATGGTATCCACCTCGGTCCTCCCTGGCATGAACCTCTGCAGAGTTGTGAGAAGCCATGATGTGGAAAGAGGGTCGACGCTACTCCGCACTGGAAACCTAGGATGGGAAGAAAGACAGAACGCCTCCATTGTCGGGGTAAGCCTCAACTTATCTTCAAAGGCTCATACACTTGTTATCTAGCCTATTACGCCCTGCATACAATATGGAATCTCAATGAACCCTGGGCGACGTGCCATAAGGAAAATATGATTGTGCGCGTTGACGCTGCAATAGAGTTACCCAGGTTAGATTCAGTGCATGTAATTGGTGGATGTTCGGGCGTACAGTAAGCAACAATACCTGCTGTCGCACAACGTAGATCGTACTGCCAAAGGCATGCAGACCAGGCAGGTCGTACCAACAGAGAGGTGATACCGTGTCTGAGGATGCAAGCAATTTGCCATCGAAGATGTGACTGGCCACCCTTGCACGTACCATGCGATGTTCAGGCCACTTCTGCACGTCGTACATGTTTGCAGGTCTAGATGCTTATTTCGAAAAGTCGTGAACAAAATAACTCGATAAGGCGCGATGTTCCGAAAGTGGACATGACCAGTAGCGAAGGCCGCTTGCAATACGTACAACAGCGTCGTTGAAGGTCCAGAGGGAGGATGAAATGATTAGAAAGTGCTGGAGAATAGGGTTCCTTGCTTGACTGGATCAGGCTAGTGCAAAGCACACCTGCTTGGCATTGTCGGCGTCTTCGGGGTCTTCGGTGTCTTCCATCGCGTCGCGCTCTCACCGCAATGTGGAAACCTCCTCACTCTACAACAGACTTGCAACAGATTGGATGCCTTCTTCCGAATCAAGAAATCATGCTCGCCCTGCCCCACTCGCATGCCTAGAGTGTCGTCGTACACATCTGAAATGCGATGGAGGCACTCCCATTTGTGCGCGATGCCAAACCCGTGGTTTTGCGTGTACTTACAAGCGCTCTGGACGAGGTCGCCGACGTGGCATAACGCGTCCAGATACTGAGGACCAGCCGACGTTGCAGCAGACTCTGCCTGCTTCTCCGAATTCCATTGCGCAAACTGCCGTCAACCGAGCGCCAACCTGCACGCCTTCTGTATCGCAATGGTTTCCACTCGACAATGCAACCGCTTCACCCGATCCGGCTTTACTACAACGCGGACCATCAGACAGTCCACCACGCCAGCGTATCTCATGGTCGGACGATGAGCAACTGGTGAATCTTTATTACCTCAACTTCCACCCAAGCCACCCAGTCCTGCTTCCCAGAAACATGTACTGGCAACAAGGATATCCTCGATACTTGAAAGCCATAGTCCAATTTATTGGTGGTCATTTCACCCATGCGGCATCGTTAAATGATTTGCGCGAGAGTGTCACGCGAGAGTTCGACCAAAGTAACGAAGACACAGTCGAAATGGTCCAAGCAGGTCTTCTCTATGCCATCAACTTGTTCGCGGAGAATTCTTCTGAACAGGGGCAGAGACTGCTCGACACCACGATCGAACGGGCCTTGCGGCTTGGCATGCATCAAAGAGACTTTGCTACAACGCATGCTGGTGATCTTACAGTGCTTGAAGAAAGCATGCGAAGGAGCTGGTATGAGTTGTATGTAATCGATGGCTGTATCGCCGCACTACAGCGAAAATCAACATTCAAAACCAACACGGTCAACGCTGACGTGCTACTGCCATGCGACGACTTCATCTACGAAGCCGGCATGTGCTTCATGCCAGCAACAATGGCAGACTTCCACGGCAATGTATTCGCAGAAGAAGAAAAGGTTTTCTCGTCCTTCTGCTATCGCATCGAAGCTGTGCGCCTTCTTGGGCGAGTCTTAACTATCACAGGAAAACACGGTGTGGATAGAGACCTCGTACAAGCTGTCGACAATGCACTTGCTGCTTTTCTCTACCACTTACCGCGATCCAAGAGCGAAGCGGAGATTTCGAACACGTTCGGTGATCTAGACGAGCTCATGCTCCAAGCGCACACTATCGTTCAATGGAGTACTATCTTGCTGCACTATCCTAGAGGAGATCTGATCTCTCCGGATCTATTGACGCACGACGTACTGGGTGCCAACTGTACAAAGCTTCTCTGCCCCTGCAATCGTCAGCATATACACTCCGTAAAGGCGATCGAAGCATCGAAGACCATATCCATGTTAGCCGCCCTACGCTCCACAACCCAGAAGCATACTCCGTTATTCGTCTACCCGTTGGCCCTTGCTGCTGTAGTGCAGCTTTCTATTGGCGCCATGCACGACAAAAGTACTAGACAATGCCTGGATCAACATTCTGATAGGGTCAAACTACTTCTAGGCGTACTAAAGTCCATGAGTCGACAATGGTCGGCTGCTGGGATTGTGCTACGTACGCTCAAAAGAGTTGCTTCGGCAGTGTTCCGTACCTCTTGTAGTGCATCCCCTAGCAGCACAGTAACACCTCCCGCCGCATCGATCGAGAACGTTGCTTTCCCCGACTTCGATTTACAGGATCTGTATGGGCTTGTAGGTCTCGACAACTCTACACTGGGTATATGAAAGGGTCTTCACGCTTCTGCGCAGCTATACAAACAAGGCTATACTGCTATGAAGACAATTTCATTGCTTCATTTGCGCAAATTCTGCCTAAAGACGAACTTGCATCCTTTTATACCAAGTGTACCGCCCATCTCCGGCCGAGTTGACCATCTCCGAGGTTCTTACGAGAGACTTTCTTCAGTCTACCACGTCGCGCCACTGACCCTGATTGGGAGATGCATCAAACGCTGGTCTCCCGATGTTGGCTGCGGAAGTCTTCCAGCACGAATGTTGATCTGCAGGGAAGGGTGCAATAACTTCGGTGCCGCCAGGCTTGCATCCCTTTCCTTCCGCAAAGTCAAGAAATCATCTTCCTCTACGTCATTGGCAAGATGTTTGTTCTTCTCTTTGTGGTCCCTCACGGTCATCCAAGGCACAGCCTCACATCGCTCTGGGCAAGCTGGATAGTCATGGCCGGTCCAAACCTTGACTTCGTCTGGCAGTTCCAGCAGCTTCCACGCTGAAGCATACAGACTTTTCGCACTACCACCTGGAAAGTCGCATCTTGCCGTGCCGATATCAGCATGGAATATGGAGTCGCCGCAAAATACATTGCCTACCATAGAATCAGTTATGCCTATCACGACAATCTTTCAGGTACACCTACCACCAATTCGATATCCAATATGATCTGGAGTATGTCCAGGAAGGTGCATGACCTTTACTTTCAACTGCCCAATCTCGAACACCTCATCGTCTTCGAACAGATGATCGAACGCGTTCTCGTACTCCACAGCCGCAATCCCATACCTAGCGGCAAATCGTGTCTGAACCTCTCGGATTCTCTTACCAATGCAGATTGGTGGTCTGAAGCCTTGCTGCGAGGACAGACGTTGTTGGAGGTAGGAAGCTGCCGTTAAATGATCGGCATGTGCATGAGTTTCCAATATCTTCTCGATGTGGTACCCATTCTCTGATATTGTTGCCAACAAACCATCGGCTGTTTGGGTACTGATAGTCTGGGTGTTCGCGTCGTAGTCGAGTACTGGATCGATGACAACGGCTCTGTCAGTAGACGGATCCGCCACCACGTACTGCCATGTGCCTGTCTTGTCTTCGAACGAGCTGTGTACTATGGGTTCTTTGGACATGGTAGTTTGGGTAGTGTACTGCGCTCGATTCACTGCTCTCATTCGTGCTTGTATGGTTGTAATGGTTGGATCGGCGACGGCAGCACTTGCTTGGCTGGTGTAGGTGCACAGCGTTGCCGAGCTAGCTGGTTTCCTTAGTCGTATTTCGTGTCTCGTATGAGCTCGTTGGTGTAGCAAGCGATGTTGCTGTCTTCCAGTCTGGCACTCGGAGACGTAGTAGGGCGGATTTGGCAGTTCCCGGACTGCTCGTGTGCTCGTAAATAATCGTAAGCTCCTCATCTCTTGAAACTATACGAATGACGCTGTCCACAAACCGAGCCTGGCTGGACATTCTCCCCCGATTCGCGTCGCCTTAAGAATACCATTCAGTTCGGAGAGCAAGTTATGGCGCCACCTCTTAAGACAGGGTTCGGCGTCTACCCCACAAAATGGAACGCCGAGGATATTCACAAGTCGCCGACGTTACAACTGTCTCCAGGATAATCTTTTACTTAGCTGTTATTGTACGTCGTCTCTCACATAATCGACTCGTTTCGTGGTTTCATTGTTAGCGACAAAAGAGATCGGACATAGGATCTGAGGCTTCGAGACCTAACATATTACCCTCGCTATCACTTGGCAGCCTATCACGTTCTAATATCTCTTCAAGATTCCTCAGCCTCATAAAAGTAGCAGGCCCTGCTTTGAGAATGCATTCGGTGGTCAAGCATGTCGCACTGTCTCCCGTCCGGGCTGCTCTCGCCGCGAGGCAGCCGTCAGTCGTTCGAAGCTTGGCTACTGTCACGTCAGCCACCACCACATCGAGAAACCACAGAGTTGTTGTCATCGGAAATGGCTCAGCTGGTGTCGCAGTCAGCCATCAACTTCTACGGAAAGGACATTTCCATCAAGATGATATCGCGGTCATCGATCCAGGAACATGGCATCATTACCAACCAGGCTGGACATTGGTGGGAGGCGGTTTGAACGATAAACAAAGCTTTAAAAGGCCAATGAAGGAACTTGTGGAGCCCCGGATCCGGTTGTATGACCACCATGTCGCGGCCATTCACCCAGAAGACAACTGCTTGTCCCTAGGAATCGGTGACAGGATTCATTATGATCAACTCGTCATCGCACCAGGCATCAAGGTCGATTACGATAGCATAAAAGGTCTTACCGAAGCTATGGACAACCCAGACAGTCTCGTGGCATCCATATACAGCTACGAACACTGCGACAAGGTCTTCCGGAATATACAGCGCTTAGAGAGGGGCTCAGCCATCTTCACTCAGCCTTCCGGTTTAGTGAAATGTGCGGGTGCGCCACAGAAGATCATGTGGCTCGCTTTGGATCACTGGAGACGAGCGGGTCTGTACAATAATGACTCGAAGAAGTCTGCGATCGAGACCATCTTCGCTACTGGACTTCCAACTATGTTCGGCGTACCGAAGTACAGCGCTAAGCTCAATGAACTGCGGGAAGAAAGAGGCGTCACAGGACTCTTTGAACATAATCTTATTGCCATCGATGGAAATATAGCGACGTTCGATCGACCAAAGGGCCAGCAACCGGTAAAGCAGCATTTCGACTTTCTTCATGTTGCGCCTAGGAATGTACCGCACTCGTTCATCGAAGAAAGTGGACTCGGTAACGAAGCAGGCTTCGTGGACGTTGACCAGTACTCGCTTCAGCACAAGACATTCAAGAATATATGGTCACTCGGTGATGCGGCGAGTCTGCCGACGTCGAAGACTGTAGCCGCAATCACATCTCAGGCGCCCATCCTTACGCAGAACCTCTTGCTCGGTCTGGAAGGCAAAGAACCGCAGTCCGAGTATGACGGCTATACATCATGTCCGCTCTTGACAGGCGACAAGAAGGTGCTTCTTGCGGAGTTCAAGTACGGCGGGGTGCCGAAGGAAACGTTCAAGAGTTGGTTTGGGATTGACCAAGGGGCTCCTCGACGTGCATTCTACCACTTGAAGAAAGACTTCTTCCCCTGGGTCTACGATAGATACCACGTGAAGGGACAATGGGGTGGACCGAAAGGCTGGATCAATTAGCTTGCGCAAATTTGCCTTGGATTAACCTGCTTATTGAGCCTTCTGGTGATCGGCCATCCCCCAAAAAAGCACCGAAACACCTTCATTAGGCGTTGACATGCTTTTTTTGATATCAAAAGTGGTGGCGTTAACTCTTGTTTGGGTGGTTCGCGGTTTAAGCACATCGCAAAAGCCCGACAGCTCGTTGGAAACATATACAAGGGCGGGAATGTCTGAGCCTCACTATGACAGATTGTGAAAATCATGCTACAGGTTCTATAATAAAGCGTGTAGTGTTTGATTGGCCACGTTGTTCAAAAGTCTCAGCGTGCATCATGTATACCAGGTTCACAGATGACTGTGGTAATAGGCGTAAAGGTCACCGACATTACGACAGCTGTGTCAACGGCAGCGTAAATAGGTACATCGAGAAAGAGCTCATCGCCCAGCTTTCGGAGAATTAAGGAAGGCATAAGTACGTCTCAGTTCTTGTCATGCTTGTCATGTTAAGCCTTATTGACGCTGGTGTGGGTGCGAAGGCGAATTTCGCAGTAGCTTTCCTGATATCAGTTCGCGTCGAAACACTGGCCACCTATCTTTTCTCCAGTGAATGGGGAACCTTAACGATAGTGTCGGTATATGATCCCTGGCATTGGATGTACACGTCGCGAAAGTCGCACCATTGGGGCAGACATGTACGCTAGATCCTGAAGTAGCGTAGCGCACATCATGACGTAGCTGCATGCTTCATAATGGGGGATCAGAAGTACAATAGGGCGCGCGACATTGATATATGTATACCTCGAGGGATCTCCTCCGCGTTATCGTAAACGACATGTTCTATCCCACTCCTGAAATGATGAAACGACCCTATTACTCAAAGTCATGACTACGAAATCCCTCGGATCTTTTGCCGGACTTTCATCGGTCATGCTTTTCTTATTTGGAAGGCCTCTTATCACGGCATGTCCGAGTCTTGGAGAACAGGAACGAGCGGCACATGGTGCTCAGCGCTTGTGTTCCCTTGCTTCTGTTCGGCAGGGTTCCGAGAGGGAGTTCTCTTGGCCGTTCAGTATCATAGAACCGCGACGAACTCGTCAAAACCTGAGCCACGGCTTTGGGCCGGATTGACGCACCAGCGATGAACTCGTCTGCGTGTTTGCATTCCTCTATCTTGTACCCACCTCGACATGCGCAGTGAGGATTCACCCAAGCTGAACAAGACTCTGTATCAGGACGTGGAGGTGCCGTTTCATCCGATCTTAGCTTGGCAGCCAAGGCGCGCCTCCGCCCCCATGGGACATCTCCACCTACCAAGTCCCTGAACAGATGCCCGGATGTTGGTACTAGGAGCTGCAGACGGATATCGTGCCGGGAATGTTGTCCTGGCACGCGACATGCCTATCAAGAAGGCGTCGAGTCGTTGCTATCGGTGGCTGCTCAGTGACGCGCGCCGCGAGTATGATCTAAGATCAAGAGTACGGGGGGATGCGACGACATCATTAGAAGGCTGAGTGCTACCCAGATTGTTGTGCTTCCACTGCTCCCAATTCTAGCTTTGTCTTCCTGTCCTCTCTATGCAGACTTCTATATCGATCTACTTCACTACCTCATCTCATTGAGTGCTTCAATATAGTTGCCCACGATGAACGCCATCCGCAAAGCTGTTCGGGCAATGTTCCCCCCACCTCGCGTCGCTCCTGATGGTCGCGCAGAGTGGCCTTCTCGAACACCATACGTACTGGCGTCCATGGGCGGAGCCATGGGATTCGGAAACCTGTTGCGTTTCCCCTCGCAAGTCTTCAACAACAATGGCATACAATGGTTCATTCCATACTTGATGGCCGTCTGCCTCCTTGCAATTCCAGTGCTTATCTTGGAAGTGGCCATCGGACAGGCCTACCGTAGTGGCTGTGTCATAGCTTACAACGGCCTTGATCGGCGCTTCACTGGTGTTGGTCTCGGCATGGTCTGTGTTGGCTACGCTGTGGCTATCTATTACATCCCCATCCTTTCCTGGGTGATGGTGTACTTTCGCAGCTCATTCCGGTCGGCAGACGACTTTCCTTGGAGAGAAAATCCACAGGATTACTTCGGGCACGTGGTGAACCAGGTTCCTGCCATCCCCGCAGTCTACAGCGATGACGGCAGCAAGGTCCTCCAATATGCTTCTTATCCCGGTGTTAACCTCGATGGAGAGCTCGTTGGCTGGGTTCTGTTTTCTTGGTTCATTGTCTGGATCTGCTTGTACAAAGGCATCGCTATCACAGCTCGCGTTGTCTACATTACCATCGTCTTACCCATCCTTATGACCGTCATCCTAGTCGGCCGTGGTGCTTCGCTACCCAACGCTGGCCGAGGAATCAAACTATACTTTGGCGAGTTCAACGGTGATCAGCTCGCTGCTGGCAAGATTTGGCAAGCTGCGACTAGTCAAGTCTTCTACTCTACAGGCGTCGGGTTTGGCTATTATACTGCCTACGCCTCCTACAATTCCAAGTTCTCCGATGCAGTCCAGGATGCTATGATGATTTGCAGTGCAAATGCCTTGTTCGAGTCCTTCGCTGCCTTTGCAGTTTTCGGTGTTGTTGGATACCTTGGTTTGCAGCCTGGTGTTGGCGACCCTGTCGGAACCTACACGCTTGGATTCTACACCCTTCCCAGCGCCATCCAGGAAATGCCCGGCGCCCCATTTTGGGCAGTCTTGTTCTTCTTGACTCTCTTCCTGCTCGGTATCAGTTCATCTTACGCGCTCCTCGATGCCATGATTACAACGATCTGCGACACTCACTGGGGAAGAAAATACAAGCACTCGACCGTCGCTACTATCATCACTGTCATCTCGGCGTTGACTTCGTTGTTCTACTCTACCGGGTTTGGCTACGAAGCCACCAACGCTGTTGACGCACAGATCAGTAACATCTCTCTGATCTTCGTTGTATGGGCTGAATGCGTCTGTGCTACTTCCTTCTATCGCTTTGTCGATGTAATTGGTCAAGTAGGCGCACCGTCATTTTGGCTTTACCAATGCTCGTACATCGGCGCTCAGATCATTGGTAATGCCGTTGCACATAGCGTCTCTGACAAACTCGGTGCTGGTGTAGGTTTCGGAGTTTACATTGTAGGCACAGTCATTGCTGTTGCTCTCGCAAAAGACCCTACTGTCCCAGCGCCACGCTTCTGGGGCCGTAACAAGCTTTTGAACCGTATCTGGTGGTTCGCCCTTTACTCTGTAAGTAAACTGCTTCACCTCGAACGCACATATCCGCTGATACAATGCAGGGTAACCAACTTGCGCGCGACCTCAACTACGTTGTATGCGTCGGCAAGCAATGGCGACTACCCGTCTTCTGGGCTCCTATCCTGCGATACTTTGCCGCTCCCGTCTTGTCCATTGTCTTTTGCTTCGCATATCCCACTTTCTACGCCACACGTGGCGACCCCTTACAAATCTTCGCTTTCATGGTCGCCCATTTCATCGTCCTGGTTGTCCTCGTTGGCTTCATCATACCGAAGAGCTTAAATGTCTTCGTGCCTCCAGAGCGACGCGATGAGGGAAATAGGCAGTACGCTCCGATGACCGTGCTCGGAAAAGACGACACAAACATTGTCGGTGGTGTTGCGCCGGGGCAGGAATACGAAGCTGGTTTGCCGCCGTCTTACGACACTGACAAGGTGGCAGACAAGAAGTGAGTATCGTCAGAGTGGCATCTGAACGTGTTAGATGTGCTTTATTAGTGGAGTGACCCAAGGCAACACCGCCTACTCGTCTAGCCTAGCAACAGATGTCTGTGTACTTGATTACAAGATCTTTCCATTGCGCCAAATGTGCCCAACGCACTTTCATTTTTCGGTGTTACGCTTCCTCTCTCATGATCATCAGAGGAGTTTATTGCGTGTGTCGTTAAATTTTCGTTTCGAATAGCTTGCTTCGTTCATTTGTGATTCTCGATACCCAATATTGCAAGACGCGCCTTCGACAGTGCTGAACAGCCTTTGTACTAGCTTCCATCGCTATTAAGCCCAATAGCTACTCGGTCGTAGATCTACTTTGAAGTGAAAACGCCATATCTTGAGCACGCTTTCACTCCGACGCTCACAATGCCCAAGCCGCTCCACCAATCGCTGCTGCTCCGCCGACCATCAGCATCGCGCCAGTTGGCAGCGACACACTCGGCGCTTTCCCTTCACTTCCAGTAGCTTGTGTACCGGTTCCGATAGCCGCGTTCGAATCTTCAGTGTTCGCTGGTGTAGGTGTAGTCGCAGCTTCCACAATTGTAGCAACAGCATAAAAGGGTGACGGCCATTCCCTGAACTCTGACTGCTGCATGACACTGGTATAGTTATCGAATAGAGTTGTTCCCCCATTAACATAATCGCCGTGTACTGTGATTGGAACCTCAGTCATCACACCAGTCCATGTAGCATCAGCGTTAGTAGTATACTCGCCTGAGACAGTTTCGTGGAACGCCCATGTCTCGGGGCCCTGAAGCATGGTGAAGGGACGGCAGCTCTCTAACTCTGTTGAAGGTGTTTGGGCTGGCAATGCAGTTTCATAGTACGATAACCAAGCGACAAGGGCGCTTGAGTATGAGGCAGATTTTGAGGACCGTTCGGCTGGGGCTGTCAAATAAAAATGAGCAATTTGACTAGCAAGAAGTGAGTACATGAGACATACAGTCATAGTACCATGCATCATCGGTCGACGAAGGTGCGGGAGTTGTAGCTGTCGTTTCGGGGCAGATCTTCTCGTAGGTGGTGGCCGTATCGTCAGAGCCCATCGATGTGAGGGTCGGCTCCAAGTACCAGAAGAGGCGTATATAGGTGAGATTATATTGCGCTTCAATCGCCCTCGCTAATAGCGACGCTACGAGGAACTTGTTCATCATCACTCACGCGAGGCGACGTTATCGTCTGAAGTGTTGCTTGGAATACTTCAGCACCACGTAGGGCGCGCGCAGTCGCAAAGCCTTCATTATATCAGATTTCTATAATTAAGGCCAAAGCCAGAGTAGGCAGCTGCCAAGGTGTTCTCGACCGGTTGGACGATGGAAGGATGCGATCTAACCAGAAGCTGGACAAGCTTAGTTTTGACGCGCAGGGTAAGAATAATGACATTGGAGTTTTGGAGCTAGCGCGCAGTTGTTCCTACGTACCTGGTAGGCCTAAGCGAAACAACAACTGACGGATCGCGTGCCAGCCATATTCATCGCTTGTAATCATTTCGGCTATCAACACCGTGAATGGACCTATTCCCGTAGTCTCTGATAGCGTACTTGTTTGTAATCATCAATAGTAGTATACATGCGCACTTTTCCTGAGCTTTTCTATCAGCCCTCAATTCGGCAGCTACCTTCTGGCGGGAACCGAGAGAGCAGCAACACGACGAAGCCAAGCAATGCGACAGCTGCATTACACACGAAAGTTAGATGACTTTGGCCAATCTCAGCGAGTGCAGCAAAAGCCAGTCCGAACACTGCTGTAGTCGACAAACGCGCAATATTCTCCACGAGCGTGATGCCGCTCAGCGCATCGACGCGCTCGCTATTCGGTAGCATCTGAAGGATTGATCCTTTGGACGCAGCACCCGTACCTGCAGCAAAAGGTAGCAGCACGGCAACAAGATACATTTGCCAACCTTTTGATACGAACACGGCCAGCCCAGTAAGTATGCCATCGAGCAAGAGACTGAAGCGCGCGTAGAAGAGGTCAAATGCAAATGTCTCCTGCTCGTTCGTCGGCTCCGGGTTTGGCGGCTCTTCATTTTCCAGAGGATCGACAGTTTCCGTCACTGCGGGTGTTGGTGGAATGATATGAACCTGCACAGGTGGCTCTCTTTCTTCTTCCTCCATCTTCCTCTTCTCGCCATCACCAAGCCACTTTCGCCCAGCAGCGACGATGCGAGGGAATATTAGCGAGAGGAAGCCACCTCTCAAGGATGAATACAGGAATATCAATGCTCCATTCTCCTTGGTCCCAAAGTTGAACTCAGCGGTTGCGTACATCTGGAGGAGTACCGGGATATAACCAGTCGCGAGAATACCTAGGAAAACTCCAATACCAAGAGTTAAGGCCCCGAATTGCATGCGCGGGCGACCATCGGGTAATGTCCATTTTTGTGGTGCAAATATACGAAGAGGGCCGAAGAATCGCGCGATGCCAGTGCTCTTGCGAGGTTTCGCATCTTCGTCTTCTTCCGGTGGTGCCATGGCCGGGAGCGAGACTGCAACGTACACGCAGCATAGCAGGAACAATGCCAAAGTCATACGGAAGGGTGCAAGTATGCCGAAGTAATCGCCAACAACACCTCCAATCAGGAAACCAATGGCACTCCCAAAGTACATGCAGCCCTGGAGTCGGCCCAACGCACCTGTCCGCCCTTCATGCTCAACCACATCTGCCACCATGGAGTTGAGACAAAGAACGTAGCCATTGGGGCCACCAACTACTGTGATGATCTGCGAGCATTGTACGATCATGATACCCACTTTGCCGCCGTGCATAATACCGATGTTCTGAACAAGCAGACGAACAGCAGGCCAAAAGATCTGTATGATTAGAGCCGACTTGACACCCAGGCGTTTGATGGTCCATCCAGCTACAAGTAAATTGACAAGGCCGAATATTGTTGTTGATGATGCAAGAAGGGCAAAAGCTCGAGCCGCTCCAGCCTCGATTTCCCGTCTGGCACACATATCGGTGGCGTTGGGATCCGGCTCATGGTGTTCGTAATACGCATCGCAGGTCAAGATTCGAAAAGCGTACAACAAGGGAACTTGGGTGATGCCGAATGTCAACGATACGAGGAATGCGCATAGTAAAGCGCGGAATAGCACCGAGACGCTCTGCTTTCCTTCTCTTTCTTTTGGGTCGTCGTGTGGCAGAAGGGGTGTCGTCTCTTCAATGGCAGCGGTAGGCCTCATAACCTGCGTAACAGCCATCTTGACATCTGCTTGGAACTGTGAGGGAAAAGCTTGGTGTTGGGAAAAGTCTTATCGAGATGCGCAAGGCGAATTGACTAACGCACTGCGGAAGCTGCATCCGGGTATCGGCGGTATCACCGCCACGCGCATCTCCAGAAATCCCTCTCCACACCGACATTATGAAGTGGAGAATGTTGCATGTCTATCGCAACGAAAAGCAGCGCGCTTTGAGAGCTCAAAGTCTGGCGTCGCTGTAGATTGACATTGGACAGGTATAGGAATAAGCAATGACGTCAGCCCGCGGGATATTTCCATTCCATCCTGGATACGTCCTTCTATCCAAGAAATTTACCTAACGTCGCGCGCAAACAGTACTCTTCAACGTCTCTACCATTGAAGCAGGCTGATGACACTTTTCAATACCTCCCTGGTTGCTCCTCTCATCGACGCTTCTCTACCATCCTCCTTCCTTTGACAAACTTGACAGAGAAAGATACCTAGGTAGCCTTTGGTTTGCCGTGGTGGAGTGTCAAGATTGGGTGAGATCAGAGGCATCAAAGCGTTATATATTCAGACTATCCGTTCGTGTGTATAGTCTGGTCTCCGAAGAGATGCTTCCTAATCATAGCGAGGGCATAGTAGTCATGGTTGAGAGATTTTCATGAGGTTGCTCGAAATGTGAAATCGCGATAGTAAAGATTCGATTGAGATGCGATACAATGCATCTTTCATGTTGGTATACATCGCTCAAAGTGGGATATGCCGATGCTAGTTGTGTCCTCCATTTCCAAACAAAACGCCGCCTATGCCGTTCATATATACACCCAGTTCCATGCCGAAAAATGTGAAAGTCGTAGCCCCTGTCCTAGCACGCTAGCAGCCGCCGACGAACTAGAAGAGGGTTCTGATAAAGGCCGATGTGGGAAAGGATTCCCATCTTCGGCAATAGTATCGTTGTTGCGGTGCGCTTAAGCGAATTCGAAGCGCTCGTTGCAGTGAGACATCTCACGGAAGCAGTGAGGGCAGAGGTCCAAGCCTTGCGAGGTCAAGCCAAGTGCGGCTGATGCGGCGTGGAGAGTCTCGCGGGTTGATGTGGGTGCCGCGGAAGAGGCTGGGGTAGGGGCGCCTGAGGCACCAGCTGGGGTGGAAGAAACGGAGTCTGGGGATGTTGTTAATATGGATCGATGGATTGAGTTTAGAGGGGAGACAAACCTTTGAAAGAAGGCATTTTGATGTTATTGATGGATGGAAATTGGATATGTGAAGAATGACGTGTGTTGTACTGTTGCTGTTGAATGTGGTATGAGATGGACGCAGATGTGGATGATGGATCAAATCCCCAAGAGCCACACATTCCTCTTATACAACTCCGCCTTCGCCATCCCTTCCCAACATGACCCTGAAAACAGTCACCAAAGAAAAATTGGCGAGCAAAAATCGTATGCAACAAGCACCATCCCGACTTGTCCCGGGCACGTTTCGAGAATTTGCGTCGAACGACATCAAGATGATGCGCCACGCTCGCCTCACGCGCTAAGTGGAGTGATGATAACGCGTGTGACCCACTATTAGCCGCTAGCGCGGCTGAGATTTTCAGGGCCGCAAGCTTGAGGCTCGCCATAGTGCATTTAGACATCGGCTAGAATGTAATCTTGCTTCGAAAGGGCTTCTTGTTGACCGGTCTGGTGCTGGCTGAGACACGCTTGCGAAATCTTTGACTCTCGCGATACAGCGATTAGTGGCCCGGACAGATGGAAGATGAAGTTTTGCTGTCAACAGAAGTGCACCGGGAGATTGTCGGTGTAGCCACACTGGGCCTGCCGGATATTCACATGTCATACGTCTGCTATGGGTCGCTACGGTCTCAGACGACGTCATCGCGTCATCGCCATCGGCTGTCGCGATCTTCAGGTGCGATGCATCCACCAGCCTCGCCAACGTCTGACACTTCACATCGCAACTAGATCACGTTAAGGTCGTATGCTACGGGCTGACCCACTAATGTGTCGTCCCGACTTCTTTATTACACGTACTGCTTCAGGGACTTTCCTGATTGGATGAGCGCTGTGCAGTTTGCAGTCTGTTGAAGCCGGAACTGACGACGTTGAATGTTTCGCATATGGCGCAGATAGTCCCACGCTTATAATGTGGCATATGTGGGCTGTGTGTCAAGAAGAAGCTGAAGAACATGCTCGTTAAAGCTGCAGGACTTGTTGGAAAGAAACTTTGATGGACAGGCATGACCGAGGGAATATTGCATCCAAGAAAGTCTTCCACATGATAATGTATGTGGTCAAAGATGATCGTGGGCTTAACGGGTGTTGAAATTGAGGTCGAGTTTGTTTACTTGAAGTGGTGGTTGTTCATGCGCAAAGTGATGGCCACTCCGCTCTTCTGGAATCCGGTCATTCGGTATAATGATACAGCGAGGAATACACCCTCGCCCCGAGGTTAAGAACACATGTGTAGGTAAACACGTATGCTGCTCAACTCACAGTATACATCGTTACACACCATGACTCCTTCCAATCCTCTCAATGCAGATTGCGCATGGCCACTTTGGGACGATGAACCGATTGAAGGCGCCTTTGAACTCGATACCACCGGTGGCATTGACAAAGCCGTCGCGAAGAGCGTTGCGCGACCCTGGCTTTTCGGCTTCAAGCCCACTAATGCCTCTTCGAACGATAGAGCTATCCTGATTCTGGGTGGAGGAGGATATGTGGAGCTCATGGTCGGAAGAGAAGGCGTTCAGGTGGCGAGGTGGTTGGCAGGCTTAGGATTTTACGCTTTCGTGCTGATTCACCGCTTCCCCAATAAGGAGACGAATAGTCAAGCGCCGGTAGATGATGCAAGGC